AGAGTGATACGAGAGGATAATACAGCACACGCTCAGCGCAGCTAAGCAGCAAAACAAAAGGAGAGTTTAATAATCCAGCCCACACCCATAATGCCACCTAGTAGGCAAGAAACCAGCACACTCCATATCAACCAGAAATACTGGGTTCCAGTCGCAGCGTGACTGAATGCTTTATTATTTTTTAAAAGCCACACGTGTCAACAATTAAACAGAAGATACTTCCGTCTTCTTTTCAATGGCTTTGCAGTGGGCGAAGTGTCGTTCTTAAAGATATCCATCAGCTTAACGAACTCACTCTCGGTGGTGTCGTGGACCACCACAGACCTCCAAGTCACACGTCGAATAGGTCCTCCATGCCGCAGATTGTGAAAGCGACACGGCCTTTCTCTTACAAGCGTATAATTTGGGATCTGTGCCTCGTACAAAATGTATCCAACCATCATGTCCTCGTGGGACATCTTCAAGGCAACAAACTCCGCCTCACGCTCCTTGGTGTACGGCAGGCGCACCATGAATTGCAGCGGCTCGTACGACACAAAGCTCTCCGCAACATCCCTTGACAGAGTGGCACATGTCCCAACAGCATAGTAGAACTTCTCGATAACATCACCCCTATACAGTTTCCTGTGGTACATCATTCCCCAATATACGCCAGTGCGTGGCAGCGTGCGCAGGTCGGCGAGGTACTGCGGCACCCTTATGAATGAGTCGTCGTCGCCCTTCGCAATGTAGCTCGCCCTCGGGAACAGCCGCACCGCAAACTCAAACCACAGGAACACCTTGCGGCTCAGCCCGATCTCAGCCTCCATGCCCCAGTAGCCGCCGCCGCCGATCGTCTTGTTCGTAGAGGAGCGCCCCTCATTCATCGGCAGCGCAATCACATCGTGCCACTCCGCCGCCTCCTTCAGAAGCGCCGCGGAGTACGTGAAGTTGTGCGACGGGTGCCGCGCAAGTACGTACAGCACCAGCATCGCACCGGTGAAGTTGTTGGGCTTCGTCGCCACTCCAGGGAACTCTTAGCACGAAAGCAGGTGCAGGTTGCGGCACATGCCCTTTGTGATATCTACGAATTTGTTGTTGGGTTCAAAGAGTAAATCCATGCGTTTCCCACGTGGAGAGTGATTATGGTAGGATTTGTCTGTATGCGTGGTGGTGTATTGCTCTGCCGTTAAGTGGAGTACATCTTCGGTTTCATGGGTATTCGGCAGAATGAGGAGTCGACCGAGATGTGCTGGTGGCCCGTTTGACTGGTATTATAAATGATCTAAGAGGATGTATCACTTCCTGACCGACTGAAGATCACCGTACATCGGAAAGGGGGAGCTATGTCGTGTGTTGTCTTTAGTGCTAGTAACTCTATTCAGTATTAGTGGGTGTAGTCAATATGAAGCAAGAGGCGACGAGGCATGTTCGTATTTGTAGACACATACAAAAAAAATTAGTGGACATCCTTCGCATTGTGGCGCTTAAAGACCACAAGCTGAGCATATAGAAGCAGGGACGTGCTGAATGTAGTTTAGAATGAGAAGCAGGAGACTCATAGCGTTGCGTATACCTGTAGGCTCATGTTATATATTAGCGCCAGTTTCAGAATACGGTATCTCCTGATGAGCACACGTGTCTGGTGTGGCAACAAAGGCGCAGAAACAAAAATAACAAAAAACTCAGCGAGGCCCGAGGCGTCAAATCCCCGTTTCAGGAAGCTCTAGAAATTGTATAACCGAATCAACCGGATATACAAAAAAGAAACACAGAGAAGTGGCCGATTTATATCTAGCCGCTTCTTGCATGGAGCAATTCCACAATGCCACACCACAGTAGACTTAGGGACTTGTACAGCATGTTGTGTTCCAGTACCACAAGCTTTCTATACGAATCATTGATTATATAACAAAATGTTTCTAGAAAAAGGACCCACACAGTTGCTTGAACACCATAAATGCACAAAAACACATATATGAGTGGTATGGTTCTCAAGACGACTTAAAATTTCCATCACTTAAAGTATTGGCTCAGAATCAATACAAAAAAGAAGTTCCATTCGCATCTGATATTCCAGGGTAACGAAAACAAAAACCCAAATGAGATACGACCCTCAATCATTCCAACAGTGAAAGTTGATTTCATGACTATTACGACGCGTCCAATTCCGCGGAGAAGCACCGCTATCATACTTGAATCGTTTCATCAACTTCTTGTAGTCATTTTCGTTCACGTGGTGTATCATAACAGAGCTTGACCGCACAGGCTCTACCACTGCTCCTTCATGAACGTCGTGGAAAGAGCACCGGTCTTCTGTCGCAAAGGTAAGGCTGCTGTTATACCCTGACATAAAAAGAGACAAGCCGACCATAGCATCTTCAGCATGCATCATCAGTGACATAAACTCCTCGTCGTGCTCTTCATTGTACGGCAGGCACACCAATCGTTGCAGAGGTTCAAACGAAACAAGCTGAGCAGCCACATCCCTTGCCAGTGTATAGCATGAACCATACGCATAAGAGAAAATGACTGGCTTGTAGTACCTTTCCACAGTTCCCCAATAAAGCCCTCGGCGAGGCAGGGAACGTAGGTCTGCGAGGTACTGCGGCACACGAAGGAACATGTCGTCATCACCCTTCGCAACGTACCTCGCCCGTGGAAATAACCGAAGAGCCAGTTCAAACCAAAGGAACGTCTTGCGGCTCATTCCGATTTCAGCTTTCAAGCCCCACTTCCCATCATCACCAATCTTCTTCTTCTCTGAGGGGAGGCCATCATTCATTGGCAACGCAACCATATCGTGCCACTGCTCCGCCTCTTCCAGCAGTGCCGCAGAGTAGGTGTAGTTATTGGACGGGTGCCGCGCAAGCACATACAGTACTACCATTGCACCAGTGAAATTATTTGCTTTCGTCGCCACACCCTGGAACTGCCAGCACGATGATCGCTGCAGATTTCGGCGCGTACGTCTCTCACTGATGTCTATCGATGGAATACCAAACGCAATAAGGAAGTCACGCTTCTCCCATGTGTGAACGGTGGACTGTGGAATGAAGCGGACTGCCCAAGGGAGTGGTGTCTCGTGTGTCAGGGGAGCGTCGTTGTTCTTCTTGTGCAATGTAGAGGTGTCCATGGTGTGTGCAAAGGGATAGTAAAGAGTGGTCACGGCGACATCCACTACCAGAAGAAGAACAATAGTAACGCATGCGGCAGATACGATTACCGTGATGGGTGGTTTTGAGCCTCGTCGCTTCATTAGTGTTATACCTATTAAGAAAACTGAGAGATAGAGAGAGAGAAGAGAGAGGCCAAGAGCCCCAAAGAAGAGAAATATCACTACCAGCTGTGTATTGCTCGTGTGACAGCGCTGAGTTGCGAGAAGCCCGGGGGCCGACTATCCCGCGATATGGGGTGCGCAGCCACATGTGTTAGATGGCGTGACGCTGGACGCTTAAGCTCCGCCGCACTTCTTGTTGCAGCGAAGCTCGTCGCTTGGTCACGTGGGCCGGGCAGGGTGTGGATGTGCTGCATGTCCGCAACTGCGCTGCACTAAATGCTGCGATCGTTCATCCTCCCTGCTTCACATCCGGAAGCGAAGAATATTGAAGGAGCACGCCACCCCACAGTGACACAGCACGGGATCCGTTTGCCAAATAACAAGTGGTCTCTGCTTCAGGAAGCTGCCCACCGCTGTCCGGGTGCCGGGCGCGCAGAGAGGAGCACTGGGCTCAGCGGCGCAGAAGGGCATCATGCGTGTGGAGGCATTCCGATCACACCCCGCCTGCAGCGGTAAAGCGCCAGTAACACACAAAGGGAGTGATGCTTACAGCCGAACAGCCACGGCGGCTCCTCGGCCGCACGCACATCCACTCGGTGATGCCTTACGTGGGGCAATAAGCAAAGTGGCGCCCCAAGCAAACAAAAAGAAACCTACCATTTTATACAATACTACATCGCCCCCCTCATCACGTCTTCCGCGACTCGAAATAGAATGGAAGCTCGTTTCGCGCAGAATGCGCAAGCAGAGAATCACGGCTAGAGACTCTTCCCTTGCCAGCCACCCAGCAATCACAGGGAATCTCAGCACTAGTGATAACACCACAAAAGAAATTCCAGTAGGTACTTCAATGCGTGTGAGACAAGAAAAACAAATTCGGATGCAGTATAGACCCACGAATGCGTGGCACAGCAACGAAACTTAAACTTTGAACACATAATGTTATGAGAATCATCGATGTAAAACGTCATGGAGTGTGAACCGCACACTGGCGCTCTGCCAAGTCCATCAAGTAATGTAGGAACTGCAACGTTACAGGGGAAAGACGCAAAAGAAGGGCACTGCAGTGTTTTTAACAGCATTTATTACAACCATAGAGGGTAGCGAAGCGCCTTTTAAAGCACAGCATCGTTCGTCGGCGGCATCTGAAAATCAAAAAGCGGAGAAGACAGTGTTGGAGGAGCCCACCGTCCTACCGGCACGAGAACTCTACCCTGTTACCACGCAAATGCTTCCGGCGTCGCGCCACAGCACCACTGGACATTCTGAATCGGTTCATCACCGCTTCATACTCACTCTCCAGCAGGGAATGAACAAGAATAGAGGTCGACCGCAATGGCCGAGGACGGACGCCGCCATGAATATCATGGAATGAACAGGGTTTTTCTTCAAAGAACTGCATTTTGGGGTAGTACTCGGCCTTCTTCAGCACCATCCCCACCATGGAGTCCTCACCCGTTACTTGCATCGCGAAAAACTCCGCCTCACGCTCCTTGGTGTACGGGAGCTCCAACAGATGTTCCAGTGGCTTGTACGTTACCAACCTGTCTGCCACATCCCTTGTCAGTGTATAGCACGGGCCCAGCGCAAATACAAACTTCACGGTTACGTTACCATCCCGTATTCTAGGCCGATACATTGCTCCCCAATAAACTCCACGGAGCGGCAGCGTGCGCAGGTCGGTAAGGTACTGCGGCACACGGAGAAGCATATCGTCGTCTCCCTTGCCAATGTAGCTCACATTCGGGAAAAGACGGAGTGCCATGTCAAACCACAGAAACACCTTGCGGCTCAGCCCAAGATCTGCAGCACGGCCCCAAGTAGGAGAGCCACCAAACATTTTTTTGGTAGTAGTACGACCCTCATTCATCGGCAGCGCAATCACATCGTGCCACTCCGCCGCCTCCTCCTCCAGCGCCACGGAGTACGTGAAGTTATATAGCTGGTGCCGGGCAAGTACGTACAGCACCAGCATCGCACCACTGAAGTCATTTAATCTCGTCGCCACACCGGGGAGCCGCCAGCACGACGTACGCTGCAGGTAACGACGCCTCTGTCTGCGAGGAATGTCCACGGACGGGATGCCAAACACAATCAGAAAGTCACGCTTCTCCCATGTGCGAACCACACTCTGTGGGATGTAGGTAAAGGAATGTAACAGAGAAATATTGCGTAGTACTGGGTTTCCAGCGTCGTTAATGGCGTATACTGATGGACCAGGAGAGCCATCCTGTATCACATAGTACAAGTTGAAAGAAGTGATAACTGCTGTGGTGAATACAACTATAATGGCGCATAAGATAAAGTGAGACCTTTTTACATTTGTAAATATCCCTTGTCTCTTCATCTGTAGTGTGTCTCGGAATGCAGGGACTATGCAGAGAGAAGGAAAGAGTGTGGCGTGTGAACATGGACCCCGTTGGGAAGTTAGGGCTGCCTCAATATAATTCAAGAATGAGCAACCTCACATTTACAGTGGCAGAAGTTGCGCTACCCGGCGAATATGTACTGCAAAGAAGAAGAGAAGTAAAAAGAATGTTCAGGGACGCTGATACAGATATAAATCGAGTGCGCATACGCACTATATTTGCAACCACAGCGATGTGATCTCGAAGAATTATCCGGGGTCTGGCCCGTCCACACAAGGAAAGAACCTCAAGTACCACGAAAGGAAAGGCACTCCACCAGCCTGCACGCAACCCCTCCCCCCCCGCACATCAGCTGAATCCGTGATCGCCACAGGCCTTCCAGTCCCAAACGTGGAAGATACGACGAACAACACATTATCTTTTTGAGGCATACAGTACATTCTTGGACAAATAGATGAGTACGGCAAAAAAGGAAAAACGGTTAACTTAAGTACCCTCTTCTTCGTGCTCGCCCAACCCGCACGTTATCGGCCTTCCCAGGACCGCTGTCGCATCGACCGCAGGTGCACACAGAGTCTAAAACAAACACAATGGGAGATGGCAGCCTCGCAAGCCAAATGGTGTACAAGCACACCGAGAGAGAAGGAAAGAATTGGGTGCCCGCTATAGTTGTCGTGCCAATCAGCGGGCGCCACGAGTTCAGCGAGGCGAAAATGAGGGAATACATCGATTAAAAAAGAGAGTTGCACTCATTTTGATAAAATCCCATTCGTCGCTCACGTTATTACTTCCAGCTGTGTGTGCACAACCGCGTTCATTCGTCCAGACGCCCCTACCCCACGCACGTAGTCGAATGTCTCCCGTAGAGAGAGAAAGGCCAGAGCCAGCGCGGCACTACCATGGCGTGCGCACACTCAAACGTCCTCCAGAGCCAAGCGCCATGCACCTCAGAACCCTCTCTCACGAACGCAACGACGAAGCTAAAAATAATCCCTCTCCGAAAAATAAATACCAATTCCGTCTCTCATGTGTGTTACAACATATGAAGGACGACTTCCACCCGGCACGGCAGTGACCAGCTGCACTGGCGTTTCCCATCTACAATGAGAGGATTCACTTACAAGATTTCTCACGGAAAGAGCAAATTCACACCACCTCAGCCAAGCTTGTTCTTATTTGCTATACGTTGGCACATCGGTCATCGCATAATTCAGTGCCTCGTCTCTCCTCCACAATGCCTGTTGTTTGGCGGATCTGATAGTCTGTCTCCACTGGCGTATTGCCCGGTGCATCAAATGACGCGAGACTTTCTAGAACGCCGCTGGTAAGGCGAACAAAACTAACACGCGATGCGTCGCCAATCAATCTGCTCGGCAAGAGGCCAATGGTGTAGGGCGTCGAGGCCGTCCTCTCACGTACGCATGGAATGATGTAGTACGGACTATATTTCGGAACAAACCGATAATGCAGGGCGGCATCGCGGGCGATAATGAAGGTTTGTTTCGTCGTCGGCGTATCCGGATCCATGGAGGCGTAAAGGAAAGGGCGCTGCTGCGCCTCCGCACCTTCATCGCTGCGTGTGACACACAACGCTATGGCCGCCAGGGCTGCGTTGGGGTCGCTCGGGTCCTCGCCCCTGTCGTCCTTCTGCGAGAGCATACAGTACGCTTCCATTGGATGGTCCACAGTGATCACCAAAGCTACACTGGCAATGCCGCCTTCAAAAGTGCCGCGGACACGGTAGTCGTGGTACGCGAAGCGTGTGAAGCATACACCACCACCATCGAATAGTTCAAGAGCTTCGGACCACTCAAGCCATAAAGCGCCATCGAAACTACCCTCCTTGTCTACTTCACAGAGACGACGGAGGTCCTTGTGCTCCTCCCACTTGCCGCACTGCGGGGCCCACATCCCCTTCCACCCAGGCGCCGCAGTTGTGCAGCGGACCTTGACAAGACGAAAGCCACCATAACGCACAGTGTCCATGACGTAGTACGACATGCCGAAGCGCAGTCCATTCTGTTGCAGCGGTGCGTCGGGCGGCCCTTCCTCCGGGGTGCAGAAACATACGATGCACCCCATATGTTGACGAGACTCGACGAATAGAAACAGGTTTAAACTACTCGCCGACAACACACCCTCCATTTGCGCAGTCGCCCACTCTTCATCGAAGCGGTATATCGGAAATCCGAGGAAATCCTGGAGTGGTTCCAAGGAGTCCCCATATTGGATGGCAGCGTAAGAACCGTAGAGCTTCGCATATGCCTTTTGGAGCAGCGGCACCCACAGCTTCCGCAGATCATTGTCACATCGCGCGAAAACCGGCCCGTGGTTAGAGGAGGGCAAGTAATCATCTAAGAGCACTGTTGTCCACCAGCCACCATAGCAGCAAGTGACGTGGTAGGCATTTTGCCGCCTCTGCGCCATGCCCTCTGCGTCTGACCGCGGGTGTTCAAACATCTCCCGCACCTTCGCTGGAAACTCCGCCGCGATGGACATGGCGCTAACAAGGTACGCGTCACCGCCTTCTCCAAGACACGGGTCCTGCGGCAGAACCCCTCCCCGAAACAAACGGCACTCATCTGTATGGTGCGCTGGAAGGTACTCGTGCGGGCGTCGCCATGGCAGCGCACAGAGGAATTTCGCGTCGATGCCTGGGCGGAAGAGTGAGCGGTGACACGGCGGGAAGATGGGATCAATGAAGGCGGTGTCATTCTTCATGCGCCAGCATGCCTGCAGGGCTTCTTTTTCGGTCATCTCTGCAGCGACTTTTCCAGCTTCGTAAGCAATCTCGTCGAGCTCCGCAAGAATTACAGCATTCTGCCCCTCCACGTGGACGTTCCTAAAATCGGCTGTCACCAACTCTGCGGTTGAAAGGTTCTTGAATCCACTGACCTCACCCGAAACAAAGGCCTCGGTGTCGCATGGCATCACAAGGAGCTGCGCCTCGTACTCTCCAGAGGGAAGCTGTTCCATCGTCGTCTTGGGGCCAGGTACCAGCTTGGACGCGCCGCCAAACCTATAGTGCGCTGTCATCTTGTACTTCATGGTATCGTTGAAGAAGAACCAATCACCGGCATCCGTCACAATCTTGTACAGAAAGCCTTGGTGGAAGACGGGGGTGACAGTGCCCGCGACGCTTGGTGTCGCGTACCTGTAGATGGACTCAGCGGAGCCTTTATCACCGAAGTCAGCATCACAACAACAGGGGCGTTCTGTCGTCACTACAACATCATCAAACTCGTCATCTGTTCTCTTCAGAGCTTCATGCATCACACTCGACCGACGACGTTCTCTCATCCCCGAAAGCAATGTCGTTGTCGATGATTTCAGGACAAACGTGTTTGTGCGCTCTATCTCATGTAAGCTCTTAGTACTGGAGGCCTCCTTCGGTAACTGTGCGTGGTCCTGAAGGGCAGCACCCTTCCCGTCGAGCCGCACAATATCATCTCCTTGCAGCGCGGAGTACGCAAAGTAATCACCCACCTCATGTAGGGTTGCAGGTTCCTTCATATCGCCAGCCGCGCCACCGCAGTCACTGCTGTCATAGCTTGTGAGATCCACGTCCCGCATCCTCTGGTGCGCACCACTGTGTGAGGAGGAGGCGTCGGGGATGACGAAGATCGCTGACGCCAGCTTGACAGACTCCTCCCCCGCAGCGGCAGCGGTGAAAACGCCAGCCATTCACTTTACCTACACCCGCCCGACACCGCAATCAACACAGGAAGAGAAGAAGAAAAGAGATCGACGGGAAAAGGAGCTCCAGACTGCACGGCACACACAAAAAAAAAACAACTCAACCGCATTACACCAATACGGAAGGCGGAAACAGGGTGGAATGGCATCAAGAGAAAGAGAGTTGAAATCGTGTACAGAAGGGAAGGGGAGCAGGATGAGTGGGTGCACGTACAACATCCTTCTAGAAGCTCATCCCAGTCTGTTGTCCGGTGATGGTGGATACAGAGAGAGGTACATGTCGAAATAGAAACCTTATATTCCTGCAGACTCTCCCCACGACTCGCCCTGTCTTTTCTTCTTTGTGCGCGCTGTTTTGCATCATTTTAGTTTCCTTCTTCACGGCCTTTGCAGGCCTCGTTTTCCTCTACATTTGCTTCGGGCTGTTTCTTTGTTTTGTTTGCGCGTTTCTGTGTGCGTATGTCTGTGTGTAAAACCCCCGTGCGCCTTTGTTTGTCAAAGCATCTCTCTTTCTCCCTCTCTCTCCCTCTCTCTAGTGGGCACCCGCTTCAAACCTCTCAGGGGCTGTTCTGCACACAGTTTATGTATTTTTTTAAATCTCACTTGTTGTCTCCTCTTGTTGCTGTTTTCTTTCTTTCTTTTTTTTCCCCTTTTGCTTTCCCTGCCCGTGTGTACTCCGTCCGGCATTCCGCTCGCCCCGTTGAGTTTTTTTTTGTTTTTGTTTTCCTGTTCTTTTGTTTATTTTTTTCTCTTTGTGTGCTGTTAGCCGCGCTCCCCCGTCTGTGAAGTTTGCATCTCACCACACGCTCCGCTAAGAGAAGCGAAACGAAATAAAAAAAAAAGACGCACACAACGAGGAGGGTACAGCGTCTCATGGAACATTTGTGGCCAAAAGAGAAATCCGGAACCAATCAATAAAAAAAAAAAAGATACATTATAGCACACACATCAACATAGTCCTTCCCCCACCCACTCCCGCCCTCTCCTCTTCATTATTCAATGAGTGGTGGTGATATGGATGCGAGTGTCTGTCGGCATGTGTCAATTCTGTTTCGCGCTTTTCATTGTAGTGGCAGCTTTATTCACTGCTTTTCATGATTCTTTCTCCCCCCCCCCTTTCTCCTATGCTCCTCACATTTCCTTGTTCTCATTTTCCTCATCCGCCGCGCCGTTCTCAATATCGTCGGTGACGCCGTTGCCGTTCATCTTCGCCTCCTGCTTCTGCACGCTCAGCTCATGCCACTCGTCTGCGGCGTCCCCGTTGTCTTGCGGCTCCTCAACCGCGTCGTCCGCCTTGACGGGCCCTGACGCCTCCTCCTCCTCCTGCTGCTGCTCCTCCTCCTCATCTTGCGCGGCCGGCGTGGGGAGCTGCGCCTGCGACAGCTTGCTGCCGGCGTCCGTCACCACCGCCTCCCCCGGCGCCTTCGTTTGGAACGGCCGGATCACCTCCGTCGTGTCCTCAACGACAAACGACACGCGATTCGCGAAGACGCGGCTGTTCCTGTCAAGCTTTGTGAACTGCACATCCAGCTTGCCGTCGAGCGGCGTCGCGGCGCGGACACCGAGGACGAACTCCTTCTGCCGGACATCTGTCGTGCCCTTGCGGTGGATGCGTGGGACGACGAAGTACGGTGCGTCGCTGGGCTCAAAGATGTACCGCAGGCCGACCTCGCGCGCCACGACGAAGTTGTACTCGTCACTTGTGGTCTCCGGGTCGCTGCCACTGCAGCAGTCGATGCGCTGCTTGTTGCCGTCACCGCGCGAGACGCAGAGCAGCATTGGCGAGAGCTTCGCGTCTGGCTCGGTGATGGGCACACCGCGCTTGTCCTTCTGTGTGAGTGTCAGCACCACCTCGACGCGCTCGACCGCGCGCACCACAAGCACGACACTTGGGTGGACGCCCTCGAAGTCGCCACGCACGCGGTAGTCGTACATCGGCTGCTGCGAGAGGAACACGACGCCGCAGCCGTCGAAGTACGTGGCGGCGTCGGTCCACGCCATCCAGAAGGTGCCGTCACAGGGGTCGGGGCCGCAGGCGTGGCGGACGTCATCGTGCGCGTCCCACTCGCTGCCACCGGCGCGCCACGCCCCGCTCCACGGCGTGTTCGGCGACGACGGGTTACGCAGCTTGAGCAGCGTCAC